CAAACACTGCAGCTTTCAATATGAACTGCATTGCAGTATCAAGAAAACAAACATTTTTACCACCGGACCAATAGGCAATATTAAGATTGTTGTTATGTGCTATTATATCTCAATTCACTTTTTTTAAACTATACAACATATAATATTCTGAAGACAGAATGCTAAAAACTTTAAAAAGAACATACAAAAAGGACAAAAAAATAAACAGAACTAAGAAAGGAAAAACATGGTTATATTTTTCATATTGTAATGTCATAAAACAAAATATGTGTATTTCAATGAAAAAATAATTTCCTTAGTAAATTTTCTCTCAAATCATATTTAAAGAGAAGGAGGGAGAGAAACACAAATATATGAAGTTTCCAAATATTCCTATATTAACACTTGCTGAATAAATATTACCACTGGGTCATTCACTGGGTGTCAATCCTATACTTGTCTTGAAATACGTAGTATTAGATTGCCCGTGTTTATTTATGTCCACAGAAATCATGCTAATTACTCTTAATTTCTAAGCAGAAAGCAAAGAAAATAGCAATACCAACACATAGTTGAATAAAAAAGACAAAATGAGAAAGTGTTATTACAAGATAAGAACAGAGTTTGGTTAACCAACATTATTATGACATTATTCTATATGTAATAAAAGTAGAAGTATCAATAGACAGTGGCCTTCCTGTGTGATTTACAGCAAATGAAAACCCATTGTAGAATCAGCTATGAACCAGTTCTGAGTCACTGTCACATAACAACAAATAAGGAACAAAAACCTATCTGTTTTATGGTTTCAATTACTCAAGTGTTCTAGTCTCCATTGATAGGATTAAGAAATCTAAGGGTGCTGGTGGCTGGTGCATAAGGAGTTTGCTGCCAATCTAAAGGCAGATAGTTTGAATTCATCAGCTTCTCTTCATAAGAAAGATAAGCAGCTTCTTCCTGTGCTATTTCCAGCATCTGAAAACCTGCTAGTTTCAACGAGATGTCAATAAGAGGGGATTTTTTCCTGTTTTTACAGCCAGTATGTGAGTTAACTGCGATAATCAAAGGATTTAGGTGGCAGTTTATTCACAATTGTTTCTCATGATGCTAGCTTTCTTTTATCATATATCACCTGTATATTTTTAGAAACTTCTCTGTCTCCACATATTAATATTGTAAGTCAAAGAGCAAATCTATATTTAACTATGCAAACTGTTGTTATTCTTGTTAGGTGCCATCAAGAACAACTCATAGTCATCCCATGAACAAAGAATATGAACCTTGTCCTATCCTGTACCATCCTCACACTTAACGAAACACAAAAGGCCACTGCAGCAATCACTGTGTCAATCCACCTGGCTAAGGATCTCTGCCTCTCCTTCGCAACCCTCCACCCTTTCCCAGCATCATGTCCTTCTCCAAGGAATAGCCCTTTCCAGCAGGATGCCAAAATATGTAAGGCAAAGTCTCATCATTCTTGCCTCTAAAAAAAATATTCCGGCTACACCCTCTTCAAGACATGTTTGCTGTCTTGGCCATCTATGTCATATTTAGTGCTCTTCTCCAACACCACAGCTCAAAGGCGGCAATTCTTTTCCTGTCATGTTTATTCACTGTTCAGCTCTGAGATGCATAACAAGTAATTAGAAAGACGATGGCCTGAATCAGATGCACCTTAGTCCTCAAATTCCCATCATTACTCCTCAATAGTTATAGAGGTCCCTAACTGCAAACTGAGAAAGAGGATAAAACCTGGAGCTTTTATAGTTTCATAAACATGACAAATGCGCTATTCCCAGACAGACAGAGAATTGTCAGAAGTTCATAAGGGATACTATTTCTGATGTCAGATGTATCTTGGCTGAAAACATAGAGTATCAGAAGAATGAAAATTTGTGTTCTCATTGACTAGGAAAAGGATTTGACTGTGTAAATGATAACAAATTATGGTTAACACTGAAAAGAATGGGAATTCCAGAACAACTAATTACACTTACACAAAATGCATACCTAGAAAACTGTTGTCCAGTCAGAACAAGGGAACACTGCATGGTTTATAATTGGGAAAGGTGTATTTCAGGGTTGAGTCCTCTCTCTGTACCTTTTCAATGTGTATGTTGAGCAAATCATTAGATAATGTGGACTTTATAGAGAAAAGTGTGGCATCAGGATTGGAGGAGTCTTATCAGCAATCAGCTTTTAAGTACATGACACAGTCTTGCTTGCCAAAAGTGAGGAGGAAATGTAGTGCGTGTTACAGAGGATCAAGGAGAATAGTCTTCAACACAGATTAAATTTCAGCATCAGGAAAAGAAAAATAATCAACAACAGACAACATTATGATAGAGAAAACCTTGAACTGTAAAAAAAAAATCTAATCTTGCCTGGATGCACAGTCAACACTCTTGGTACCAACTGTCAGGAAATAAAGAGTTTTAAGGCATTCACAAAGTCTGTTTAGGGGCCTCTCCAAATAACTCTAAAAATGAAGGTGCACCTGATACAAGTCACAGGCTTTCCAATCACGTGCTATGCAAACAAGAGCTCAACAATAAAGAAGGATGACAAAAGAAATCTATATATTTGAGTTGTGGTATTGGAGAAATCCTGTGGACTGCCAAAAGAACCACCAGATAAGACCTTGAGCAAAGTGCTCAGGTGTGTTCCCTGGAGGTAAAGATGACAAAGCTTCACATTTTAGACAGGTTATTAGGTGAGACTAATTCTTAAGAAGGGTTATCACACTTGCAAAGGTGGAAGTAAAGGTCTGAAGATCAGGAACAAAATGGACTGATGCAGTGCAGTGGTTATGGACTCAAATGTGTCAAGGATGGTAACAACAGTACAGGGCAGGGCAGAGATAACATCTGTTGTTCACAGGGTTGCTATCATTTGTGCTCCACTTGATAGCACTAACAATTACAACAATGTTCAATATCTGGAGTCTTCATTAAGCCTCTGTCATACTGATTACATGGGAAAACCACAGTTAAAAAGAATTTAAAATATATATTCACTGATGTAATGATCATTTATAAAAATGTATTGGAGTCTTAATATATGGCCTTAACAGGTGTTGTGTGCCATCAAGTTGGAATCAACTCATAGCTAGTCCTCCTATAGGTTTTCAAAGTCTTTAAATTGGAAGGTAGCAACTGGTAGATAAGAATTGCATGGCACAAGGTTGGGAGCACAACTTCTTACCAAAAACCCATCAGAGCTCATTATGGTATAAATTTTTTTTTAGTATAAATCTTTTAAACACACACACACGTATGACAAAAAAAAATGTACAATCATCAATGAATAAATTACATTACTGGGATCTTCTAAAAATTAAATCTCTGTGTTCATCAAAAATTTTCTCAAAGAGCCAAAAGAGGTTCTACAAACAAGGGAGACAAATTTTATAATGATTTATTTGGTAAAGAGTTCATCTCTAAAATTTATAGAAAACTCTAAAACCTCAAAAGAAAAACAAAACTCAGTTACAAAATAGGAACTAGACATAAAGACAATAAGTAAAAAAAAAAAAAAAACCCCAAAGAAATGAAAGATTGTTAGCTATTAGAGAGAAACAAATAAAAGCGAGATAATCATATCCTGCCAGTAACAATCAAAAAGTCCAACAAGATAGCCAACAGCAAATGTTTGTGAGGTTGTGGAGAGATCTCTATTTTCATATATGGCTGGTGTACTCACTATGGAAAGCAATTTGATGCTTCTTTTAAAAGTTCAAAATGAAAATAGCATTTGATTCATCAAACCCACCACTAGGTATATATCCTAAAGAACTAAGATCTGGGACCAAAGAGACAGGTGAGCACCCATATTTACTGTAACTTCAGTAACAACAGCAAAGAAAGGGAAACAAATCAAAGGTCCAGTAAAAGATGAGTCCAGTCAAAGATGAGTAAAGACATTATGATACTTTCACACAATGGATTACAATATGCAACACTGAGGAACACATTACCCATATAACATGGATAAATCTAAGGGTATTATGTTAACTAAAGACATACAGTTAAAAAATAAATAAATATTGTGCAAGATTCCTATTATCAAAAGCTAGAGAAAGGATTATGCACAAATAGAATTATTATAGTAAGGTTACCCAGAAAGGATAAAAAGGGAAAGGGAAGTAAAAATTAATAAATAGATAATAAACATTTACTAAAAAAAGGTGAAAGGAAAGGCAGAATAAAACTAGTCAGTAATCCATATTGTAGGTATTAAAATAAATGTTATACAACAAAACGGGTTTGAATGATTGCTTAAAAATCAATACACTTTGCAATTTTTCACTGAAATCACAATAAATATATAAACATACTGAAAATTTAACAATTTTTAACAAAAGATAGCTTAAAGTTCACAGCTTAAAATTTAATAATCAATGATCATATCAGACTTGAATGCCAATAAATAAAGATCCAAGAGGAACCATCAAGAATGATGCCAAAAATTACCTACATTTTAAATATGTCAAAGAAGAATGACACGATGTGCTTTATATGCTAATTTCTGAACTTAAGAGTACAGAAGCGACAAATCCACTACTAAAATCAGGTCTAAAACTGACCCAATTCTAGAAGTTCATTACTATTAATTCACAGTAAATAATTTATAATATTTTCTACATTAATAAACCAAAAGGTTAAAAATGAATCCGTATTTTAAGTTATAGTAGAAATAACACCTTACTGATGTAGGTACCAATTAACTGCATTTGAAGGAAGAGCTCAAAAGAAGCAGAAATACTACTGCCAAAAATAATAAAAACTTAGAACACCATTATTATTATTATTATTATTATTACAATGAGAAAATAAAAATTAAACTGAGGAATGATTTATCCATAATTATCCTGTAGGTTATCTATACAAAATTTCAAATACTTGTTTAATTGATTCACTGCAGTGCTGCATTTTATCCAATCAATAAAACATGCGGGCATTCAATTGGGATTTTTGAGCTAAAGTGAACCACTAGAGAAGATTCTAATATATATAACTTACCATTGTGTATTGCATTCAGCAACTCTGAGAAAGCTTTTAAGTAAGGAAAAAAGGACTTCAGGTTAAGATCATTCTCAAACACACAGGAAAAATACACAGGCAAAGCTGAATCCGTATAATTGAATCTCAATAAGTTTATTATTTACCAGCAATAAAAAATCATAAAACTTAGAAGTTTTATTTAATTTTACAAACTATAAATTTCTAAATGTATTTCATATACAATGCTGCCTAAATTTAGATCAAAATACTAGACATTATCTTAAATAATAAATATACCCATTTAAAGATAGTTAAAAGTCTTTTAAGTAATATAATTACGTAATGTTTGGCTAAAACTGAGTTCGTATAAGATGCAATTCTGCATAGGCAAGTTCACCAGTTCACTCTCAACAACACTAATTACCAAGAATAATTTCATTATATAATCTAACTCAATCAAACATTATTTTCTAGGCTGCTATATAATAAAGTCTCAAAAAAAAGTCTTAAACAAAAAAGCTATTTATCCAAGTTCTCTATAAACTTTCATTAAATTTTTTAAAAAGCTACTTAACATTAATATACAAATACTTTTATTAGAAAAACATACAAAAACATTCAAAAACTGAAAAATTAAATTATTTCATAAAAAAAACAAACAGAAGTCACATCCTCATAATGAAAGTACCATGTGCCCACTATAACTTTATCTTTGAGAGATGCTGAGGGGATATTCTATATTTTAAAAAATAAGTAAGTACTAGATTAAGAGTTAAAAAGATTGGGTTACCAACCCTGTTTGACAACTTACTAGTTGTTGGACAAGCTCCTTCATGTCGATACTGCATCGAAATTTCTGTTGGGAAGGAGGATAAAGGAAATCAGCAAAGTTGTTGCCAGCATCTCAAAGGTACAAAAGGAAACACACAAGAAAACATCAAATCAATGATCAAATGAGAATGTCAAGATCAGAAATTTTAAGTCACTAACTGGGATAACTGAACTCAACTTATTGCCACTGAGTAGAAACTGACTCATATTGGTCCTTCCAGTAGGTTTTCAGAGGCTGTACATAATCACACATGATGACTTGCTCATCTTTCTTCGTTGGAGCCATTGGTGGAACCAGAGAGGAGAGTCCTTTGGGTTAGCAGCACAACTCTAGATAGGTTATTGCACCAAACTGCCCTTCTTCTATTAGTGGAATCATTTGTTCTTAGACAGCTATTACGCAAATTACCTCCCATGCATTTATAGCTTCTACACATCCAGTGGAGGGTTAACTATGAGGTGGTTTTGACTCAAGGGTAAAAAGGAGACAAAACAGCTAACCAATGTGATAAGCTAATGTGTTTTATATAGATATAAATAGTTAAAACAAACAAACAAACAAACACCCAATCATTGAAATAGTATGGCCAATCAGAAATTACCATTTATTTATATTTATTTACTTTATAAAAAGACATCCATTATGATTTCAATAAAAGCATAAAACTCAATAAATCATATATTAAGCTTACTTTCTTGGCTCCACAATCAACACTTTTGCCATCAGCAGCCAGAAAATTAAAAGACGTATTGCGATGGGAAAAGTCTGCTGTTAGAGATCTCTCCAAAATACTGAGGAGCATTGCTGTCACTCTGGAGACTAAGGTGCGCCTGATATAGGCCATGGTCTTTGCAATCACTTGCTATACTTCAGAGAGCTGGACAATGACTAGGGATGATAGAAGGAGAAATGATGCCTTTGAGCTGTGGTGCTGGAGACGAGTATTGAATATATAATGGACAAGAGAATGAACAAGTTCATCCTAAAGAGGGTTAAACCAGTCTGCTCCTTGGAGGCAAGCATTCTGAAGCTTCGTCTGACATGCTTTGGACATGTTGCAAGGAGGGAACAGTTCTTGGAAAGGGACGACGTCATGCTTGAGAGGGTGGAGGGACCATGCAGGAGAAGAAGACCCTTGATGAGATGGAATGATTCAGTGATCGGGGTAGTGGAAGTAGGTGTGTCAGAGACAGTGAGATTGGCAAAGGACAGAGCAGGGTTTAGGGCTGTTTTACATAGGGTCACTATGTACAGACACTTGATGGAACAAAACAACAAGAAGCTTACTTACTTTCTATAGTTCACTTTTTAGGAAGATAATAGTGCTCACCAGCCTGTGCAAGAATCTAAAGGGCAGCTACCAGGCTAAGTGATTAGAAAAGATCCATCCATATGTATTCCCATTACAAAAGAGGTGACCCAACAGAGTGTGGAAATTATCGAAAAATTATCACTATTATCACATCTAAGCAAAATCCTGCCAAAGATTATCCTGAAACAACTGGAATAATACATCAGCAAAGAACTACCAGAAACATAAGCTGGGTTTAGAAGAGGCCATGGCACTAGGGACATCATAGCCAATGTCAAGATTCATCTCTGAGATCAGAGAATACCAGAAGAATGTCTATCTCTTTTTCATTAATTATGCAAAGGCATTTCACTGTGTGGATTAAAACAAACTGCGGCTAACATTGAGAAGAATGGGAATTCCAAACACCTGATTGTTCTCACGTGTAACCTATACTTGGACCAGGAAACAGTCGTCAGAACAAAGCAAAGAAACAATGCATGGTTCAAAATAGGAAAGGAGTACATCAGGGATGTGTCCTGTCTCCACACTCTTTCAATCTGTATGAGGAACAGATTACTCAGGAGGCTGGGCTTTATGAAGGGAAATGTAGCATCAAAATTGGAGGAAGAACTGGGCTTTATGAAGGTGAATGTAGCATGAGAATTGAAGAATCATCATCAACAACCTGCATTATTCTGGTTACACAACCTTGACTGATGAAAACGAGGAGGGCCTGAAGCATTTGCTGCAGAAGGACAAGGACTACAGTATTCAATATGGATTGAAGTTTAACATCAAAAATACAAAGATTCTTATCATGATAGACGGAGAAGATTGAACTTATTAACAATTACAGCTTGCTTGATTTCACAATCAACACTCTTGATATCAGCAGTCAGGAAATAAAAAAATGAATCACATTGGGAAAATTTGTTGTCAGGGACCTCTCCAGAGTGCTAAAGAGCAACAGTGTCAGCCTGGAGACTAAAGGTGCACCTGATCCTGGCCATGATCTTTGAAATAACTTATTATGTATTGGAAAGCTGGACAGTGACTAAGGATGGCAGAAGAAGGACTAATGCCTTTGCACTGTGGTGCTGGAGAAAACAAACAGATTTGTCCTAGAGAGAGTGAAACGAAGTTGTTCCTTAGAGCCAAAAATGTTAAAGCTCCATCTCACATATTTTGAGCATGCAAGGAGGGATCAGACAGACATTATGCTTGGAAGGATAGAAGGACAGAACAAGAGAGGAAGACCCTGGTGAGATGGATTGACAAAATAATGGGAATAATACAGTTGGTGTGTCAGAAATGGTGAGACTGGTTCAGTATCGGGCAGGGTTCAGAGCTACTGTGCATAGGATCACTATGAGTCGCAGGAGACTAGATGGCACATAACAACAATTATGAATAAATAAGAGAATATTCTGACTTTTTTATCTAAGTCAAATGAAATGACCAAGCAAAGCATGCATTGGCAATAAAACACTAGGTTTGTTTGATTCAGGCCACGGTCTTTCCGATACTTGCTATGCATTTTAGAGCTGCACACTGAATAAGGATGACAGAAGAACAGATGTCTTTGAGTTGTAGTTTTGGTAAAGAGTACTGACTATCCCATGGACTGCAATAATAAGAAGTATGTCAAGGAGCCAGAGTACTCCTTGAAGGCAAAGATGCTGAAGCTTTCTCTCTCATACTTTAGGAGTGTTCCTAGGTGAGGACATTCCTTGGGAAGGGACATTATGTTTGGAAAGATGGAGGGTCAGTAAAAGAGATGAAGACCTCCAATGAAATGGACTGACTCAGCATTATAGCAGTGATCCCAAGTGTGTCAGAGATGAGGAGGAGATAGGATGGGATTCAGATTTGTGATTCACAGAATCTCTAAGAGTCATACTTGACTCAACAGTACCTAACAACAACCAAAAATTTTTTAAGAAACTGGAAGTAATTTTTACATGGCATTCCAAGGGAGGAAATAATTGATAAAACCAGGATCAAAGAATAATTTAAAAGATCTGGCTTACTTATCCTGAAAACAACTAGCAATCTCTTATGGCTACCACCACTGACAAAAATTATTAAGAGAAGGGATAGCTGGTAATGCCCTGGACATTACTTAACAGAACTATAGCCCCTAGAAACCATATGTATAAAGAGTCTCTCAGGAAACCACCACTTACATATGTACCCATATATTTTAAAGGTTTAGTCTAATCACAGACTCACCCTGAGTAACTAAGTTTTAAAAAGAGACAACACAAAATAGAGAAATTCAGTGCTTACTTGTTCTCAAACTAAATATATGGCCCATTTACAAACCTAATGCTAGTGAGATGAAAAAGTGGAAGGGATTAACTAAAGAGATTGACATGATACATTATAAGAAAATGGTAGTTTTTTTAGAAAAAAAGTGGAATATGGCTATTCTACTTTAAGAAAAAGGGAGTAATGACATAAGGTCAACAAATTATCAAAGATGAAAATAGAATTTAGAAACTCTTTCAAGAAAGCAAATTCCTGAGGAGCTGAAAAGACTGGGTAATGGTGGGCATAATACAGAAGTGATTTTATAAAATATAATGAATGGGAATGATTACATGAATGACAATGTGAATGAACAATAATATAAAACAATGTATGTGAATTTTGTAAACAAGTCAATATAATTTTTTTTAAAAAAGCAAATTCTGCCAGAAGCCTTCATCCAAGCTTGCAAGACTAAGAGAACTTTGTGACAAAGACTTAAGCTTTTAGGCTGAAGGTTAAAGGGCCTGCAACACACATGAGAGGCTATCTGGACTGAGGAACCGTATGCTACTGTCAACTTGAATTATAACCTGTTAACTTTGCTAATAAACCCGATAAACATAAAAAAAAGCAAATTCCAAAGTATATTATTGTCTCATTTGTAGCTAATGTTTTAAATAATTTTCGCATGTGTGTACGTATAGACATTAAAATGATACATAATTATACCAACTTTTTGGTCAATAATACCTTAATAGTAAATAACTCTTCTTTTAAAAGATCACTTTATCTTTCTATCTTTGTAATTCCTAGTATTTGTTTACTGAATCACTTCCTATTTCTAATTAAAACGTTTTTTTCCAAAGACTTTTCAATTTCACTTTATCAAACTAAAAATTTAAGAGATCTTTTAATACTTTAAGAGCTCAAGTTCAAATTTCATAACCGTTATTTTTTCTGAACCCTGAAGAAGTCCCTCTTGAAATGATCTGATCTTATTAATAATTTGTCTATTTCACTTTACGACTAAATATACACACACACAAAAAAGAGGAATGTATTAGTGCAAGAAAAATCACATTGATGAATCACAAATGCAGTAATTGGAATAAAATGGTACGTCCATATAAGGTGAACTACCAAAAGTTGTGTGACAGATGTCTAGCATTAACAACAACAAAAAGCATCTAAATTGAAGGCAATTATGAACGACCAAACGCCCCATGAGATTTAGTTTTCTGGTGTGTACCACCACAATGTCATGGGGCCCTATCAGTTAAATGCCCTTACAATATGTTTATTAACAATATTTTGCTAATAATAAGTCTGCTCTACATCTTAACTCATCTTTTAGTTTCTGAAGTTTTAAAAGCTTGCAAGCAACCACTCAAAGCACTACAATCTATTCACCTAGAGAAAAAGAAAGATGTGGACGACATAAAACATGCAGTAATAAAAAACCAAAATTGAATGGTGCCTAGCGAAACTTATTAACATTTTTTTATCAAAGATTCCCAAAGAGAATTCTAATCAAATGGAGGAAAGATAAGGCAAAATTTCTAATGTTCATGTATAGGACTAGTCTATTTGCTGTACAGAGGTAAAACTTGTGGTTGCTGTGATGCTAAACACTGTGACACTGATGTGTCAAATATGATAATGGTTACCCCTGGTAGATCATGTATGCTGGAGCTCCCTGATTAAAACAAGTGTGGAAGCAGGAGTAGCATTCACTTCCGAAATAGCTTGCCTTTGGAAACCCTATGAACCTGGAGAAAGGATTAAAGTTATACAAGTGTTCAGGTGTTTCATATGGTCGCTATGAGTCACTACAACTTGACGGCAATTAACAACAACAATTTTATTTTTATTTAAAAAAATTAAATATATTATTTTCCAGAACAGATTCTTCCAATTTCCCTCACTGTCTCACCCATCAAATTGTACAACTCCATGATAAATTCCCCCTCCCTCTGCTTCCACTCTCCACTCGACCCCCCGCCTAATCCTTATTCCACAATAATGGTTTTATACTTCAGTTGGCATAATGCTCTCCAGACCAGTAAGAGTAGCAGAGTTTAACAGGGCAGCAAGTAATAAATGTTGGAAAAGATGTGGCAAGAAAGGAACTCTCATACATTGTTGGTGGGATTGTAAAATGGTATAACCATTCTGGAAGGCAGTTTGGTGCTTCCTCAAAAAGAAGAACATAGAAATTCCATATGACCCAACTATTCCACTACTTTGAATATACCCTGAGAAAATGAAAACTGAGGCACAAACAGAGACTTGTACACCAATGTTCATAACAGCATTATTCACCATCGCATGAACAAGGAAACAGCCTCGATGTCTGACCACAAACCAATGGGCTGAGAAATTATGGTACATTCACACAATGGAATACTATGCAACAAGCAGGAACAATGATTTTATAAATTATTACCTAAATTAATTCATTTTAAGAATTTCAAATAGTAGTAGTACTTGTATAGAAAGTGTTTAGAGCAGACCAAGGAATCCCACCTGGGAGACCCCTTAATAAAGCTTCTTTAGCTTCAAAAAAAAAGGAAGTGTTTAGAAAGTGAGAAGTTTAGAGAAAATTAGTTAAAAATCTAATACTTACTAACAAAAAATACTACGAAAACACTCACAACTTAAAAACAGCTCCTTGGTAGCACAAAAAACCCAGGAAATTCATTCTAGATAGTTCATAAAAACTAGAACCAATGAACTGTATAACCTTTAGTTAGTTCAGAAACATCTAACTCACGTGAAGCCTTTTTACCCAATACAAAAATACTATTAAGAATACTTTTCTTCATTAGGATAATTCATTATAATAGAGTAATGCAAACCATCACAGTAGCTAGCAAGCTCTTAAAATAATCTTTTACTTTTTGGAACAAAGAGTAGGAATGGTGAAAGTGAAGATGAAAATTTCTGGGTAAATTCGTACCTGAACCAACTGGAGATGAGCCAACACTAAGACTCTGTAAACTTCCATTCCTGAGCAATGTAGGAGATTTCTGGAGACTACAACTTGTTACACTTCCTGCAGCTGATGTTACAGATGATGTTGGTGAAGCAGAAGAAACTGAGAGGTGAGAAATATTCTCTTGATTTTTGTTTCCTTTGGGCCTACCAGGTCCATGCTTGCTTTGCTTGTTTCCTTTTCTTTTCTTCTCTTTTACAGTTTCTTCTTCAATGCCAGAAGTTTGAGCCCGTTTATATCCTGATGTAGGAAGGCTGGAATTACCCAAATCACCAGGTGAATTTTCAAAGCTTTTAGGTTGTGAAATTACAGTTGAGGTTGAAGGAAGACCAATTAAGGAACTGAAACTATTTACTCCGCCTTCCTGACTTCCAGATTCTCCTTTATGTACATCTTTGGTTGAAGATGACTGCTGGGAGTGACTATAACTGTCATTACGCAGCTCTGAGTCTGTAAAGCTCAAGAAATCCTGGGGAGACTGAACTGAACTTCCAGAAGATGATTTTACACTGCCTGGAGTTCCTGAAAAACTCCCTGGAGGAAAGAAAATAGGAGAATTAAAAATTTCATGTAAAAGTACACCTAAGAATAGTAGATATGACAATCATTAAAAAAGAAGGCAGAAATACAAAAATTATAAAAATTTGTAATTACAAAAATTTGGGCATATCAACCCACAGCGTCCCTTTTCAACAGGAAGTAGCTAAGAGAATATGCCATCCCCTTTTCCTTATGAATCATGGTGAAGTCTCTCTCAGGGAGGAGTGATAGGGAATGGCAAATGACACACTGACAAAGGAGATTAATCAGAACTGGCTTTGACAAGCACTGTGGCAAATGGACAATTAAAACAAACTTTCAAGGGGGGGAAGAAGAACAAACTGGGGAGGAGGGTAGAGAAAATAGTGCAACAATGAATGAAAATGAAAACCCAAAATCTCTGTAAATGGTCATTAAAATTAATAAAATTTAATAATTAAAAAATATTGGACATATCATAATGTAAAAAAGCTAGATTTGAAAAGGATTATTCATAAAGTTTATCTATAAAATCATTATGAAATATTTGTTTTAGAGTTTGTGTCAAATTAAATATTTAATACTGACTTCAATAATTATAAGGTTGTACTATAGCACCTTTTATCATAGCATCATTCTTCAGCTCTTCATTAAAAACCTGTATATATGTGAGGAAGGAATGAAAAACTGCAGTCTTCGTTTGATGGTCTTACAAGGAGAACTTTCAAGATTATAATTTGACTACAAATGGCACAAGGAACTACCTCTTTTTCACAGAACTGAAGACATGATTATTTATATATCCAGTATATTAAAAGAATGAAGCAATGTTTCTTTGAGTAGAAGATTTAATGTAAAAATATACTGGTTAATGTTACCGAAACGTGGATTTGATAGATAATGGTTCTCCTAAATCTACTTCATCGAGCACTGCATAAAGAAAAGAACTATACAACTATTGTTCTGCTACTGCTTTTAGGAAAATCAATCATGAGATAGGTATCTTTTTAAAACTAATAATTATCTTTCTCCTATATTATTAAAAAGCATTAAGTCCATAATGCCTGTATTAGATTTAAGAATCTCAGGTTTCTTATTTGCCTTTCAACGAAAAGCAACACGACTGGAACAAAATCATAGTTCGATCTACCATATAATTTTGCCAAACTTTCTCCATGCTTGTCAAATAAAGTAATAATGTTAAGGCTCCGTTTAACCACACATCTATTATGTTGAGATCTATTATGTTTTATCATTATTTTAACTAACACATTTGGAAATAAAAGTTCAAAGTTGTGTTTTATTGGAGTAGGTGGAAATTTCAAGCCAAGTGTTAAATTTTATTGCCAAGTACATTCACAAGCAACGACACATAAGGGCATCTAATATTAAAATGATATTTTCTCCTCACATGCAAGAATATGTTTTACACTAAAGCCTAGAAATAAAGGATTTTTTTAAAAAAAGGTTTATCTTTAAAAATAAACCCCTTTCCAAAAATGTTCATTAAAACGATACTAATAGTTAAAAAACATTTGCTTTATTAATTTACAAATTATTACTCCTGCCTCTCTTGGTATTTTCTGACTATATTAAAACAGAAAAACTTCAATATTAACAAGCATTTACTATTAAAAATTTACATCATAGCAATCATTTAAGAGTAAGTACAATTTGCCACTTAATTAACAGCTATAAAGAAGTTATTCTTTCTGATCTGTCACCATCTGTCTTTTCTGTACACTTTTTTGCTTTTTACATCTGCTGTTAAAAGCTAACTACTTTGTAGCAAAAATTTAAAAATATTTCACCAACATAACACATTTTAAATCATTTACTGCTTACTATAAAAAGGATAACTTCAGAAATCTCAAATTTCTCCACTTTTAAATTTTAAAATTTAAAATTTTATACAGTAAACCTAAGATATGAAAACATAAAACCTCTACTATGCCTCAATAGACCCTGTAAAGGATTCTTCAAGATTACAAAGCGCAAGAAAAGAAAAGATTTCTTTCGCTAATTAATTGGTATTTTTCTTGCTTCTGGGTGCCACAGATTCTATTCTGATTAACAGGAACACTACAGAAAAGAGCAGAACTACCTCATAGCATTTCCAAAGACATAAATTTTGTAGAAGCTAATGGCTGCATCTTTCTCTTAGAAAGCAGTGAATATATATGAACCACTGACTTTTTGGTTAGCAACTGGGTTCGTAACTAAAATACCACCAATTTCTAAGGTTAAAAAATGCAAAAGATAGTGCAACAATGAATGAATGAAAACCCAAAATCTCTGTAAATGTTCATTAAAACTAATAAAATTTAATAATTAAAAAATGCAAAAGAAATTTTAATAATAGAAAATAGTCTTAATGATGAAGAATTGACTCTATCACCCTAACAGCACATTCAAAATATTAATTAAAAGACATTAAAAATTAAAGCTTTATTATATACTTTCAAATATGTAACTGAAGGAAGGTACAGTGAATTTCAGTAAAATAAAAAAATCAACTTGGCTGTAATTTTTGGTAATAAATTCATTTAAAATTTAAAAATGAATTTAAACTCCAAATAACTGCTGATAAAATACAAACCGTTTTAATTAAGAGGCCAGCAGATATCTGATCCCTCTAAAATCAAATTATAACCCACTAGGATTGGGGTACAGTTTTTATTATTAATAGAAGCTTGAACATGGTAAAAGAAATTCCCTTCCCTTTCATTAACTTTTAAAGGATCAAAAGCAAAAAAGAAAACACACTTATAATACTGTTTACTAATATTTTCCTCTAATAATTATTATTTTCATGGATCATAAAATATTTATGCTTAAAAAGCATACAAATTATAAAACACAACACAGATTAGTATATTTGTAAATTAACTGAGTTAATCTGTTCTCTATTTAAAATGTTACTAGTATATTCCTTTGTTGTTGTTGTTATGTGCCGTCGAGTTGTTTCCGACTCATAGCAACCCTATGCACAACAGCTCTAAACCCTGCTCTATCCTACGCCAACCGCACTGCTTCTGACACACCCATCCCGATTACCCCAGTCACCGAATCAATCCATCTCATAGAGGGTCTTCCCCTCCT